CAACCCAAACCATTCTATGATTCTATACTTAGGGTCACCATTTAAGGAAATGGAAGTGTGAAGCCACTTACATAGCTGGGGGGCAAACAGACAATACATTCCTAAAGCAGACATTTCAGGTAAGCTCATGGTATCACTAGGCAACCCCCTCAGTTGAGCCTCAAAAGAAAAGGACATTTTCTTCTGATAGTATATTTTTTTAATTATTATTTTTCTTTTTACTGTTCATTGTAAACAAAAATCTCTTGCACTAAGTCTATTAGAAACCACAAGTTTTGGCAGCTTTAATATTTTAACTGAAAAAAATGAGCTACTCTTAAAAAAAAGGAACAAACAAAAACCAAAGCTCAAACAGTATTTACTACGCAAAAATCCCCTTCCAAAACTGCTCTGTTACCATTATTGTTCATATAATTCAATGATTTATAATGTTCATATAATTCAATGATTTCAAGTATTTCAATACGCTTATTTTGTTAACAAGAGATGTCAAGCAACAACCACTGGTATTGGAAAGCATGCACTTTGTGAACATCACCTGGTGATTCGAATCTTCACTTTTCTGAATACCACTCTCTTCTAGCGTATAGTCATAGTTGAAGAGGTAACCCAGTAAGTACCACAGAACTCCAGCCTGGAACAAGTGTGTTTGTAGCCAGTAATCTAAGGCAAAGGAGCTCACACACTCCACTCCCAAAGAAGCTACTCGTGGTATGTTCTGAGGAAGGAAAAAAGTCCACCTTAGTACTTGTGACCAAAGAAAGCCAACTGGCTTCCTTACCAAAGGTTTAAAGCCAAAACTTGCTACTTCTAGAGCACTATCGAAGCAGCACAGAGTTAAAAGCTGAAGTAGACAGAACAACATCTGCAGTTGAAGGTAAGTGTCTGGTAGCCAAGAAACACAGCTAATTAATCAGCATCCTTCAAAGGAAGAGTATTTGAATAGTTATTTCATATGATTAGAAAGAAGCATCGGAGAACTGGTGGGAAAACAATTCAAGAAGGTGGCAGAGATTCCCAGGTGAGCTTTTTATGGTAATACATGTGTTCTGCAGGGACTAAAGAACAGACAAGCACCTATAATCAATTGCTATAATCTGTTTTTCTATAGTCTTTTTCCATAGTCTTCTGTTTTCACATGTCCCATATGAAAATTTCAAGACAAGCTTTCCTTTCTTAATTCAGACAAAATTCAGCATTTATATAACATGAGGTAATTTCTAAAGAGCTAAATGCCAACAAAACTTCCGGAATACTGTTTCCAGAGTTTATGCTAATTTAGAAGTCTCTCCCTAGTACTTTTATCTGGTGGTTTAGCTCAATAAACCAATTGGCCAGACATAAGTCAGCTAAAAGGCAAGAGCAGCTGAATCTTCATAGTGATTGCATTTTAAGCCCACTAAATGGATTCAATTCTTGAATACAAGTCTTGAGAACAAGGCAGTAGAGTTCTTTATCTCATAATGATGAGCTGCAATCTTACAGAAGGGTTTGATCAGTCTCTGCATCTCCCTTATAATTCCCCTAAATATTTAACAGTTAAATACCCATTTAGGCAAAGGAAGGGAGCTCTTACCTTTCCATAATACAGCAGTCTACAGAGGTCCTTAATGATGTTAGGCATTTCTGTAATCTTCTCTCTGCATTCCTCAAATTGAGCTGCTACACTGTAACACTTACTGATATAGCCACATACCTAGAAAAAGCAGTATTTTACTCATTCCAGGCAGAACAGAAATGCATGTTTACAATCCTATTTTTAAAATATATAATACTATATCTATATTTTACAATACATATACACACTTGTATTTATTACATTATCTATATATAGTCTTCTGAGAAGCTGATACAATCAAAAGTTGCTGCAACTTACCTGGACAGACATATCATCTGGTTTACTAGAATGAGTCAAGACTGCTACACAACGATTAAATGCTTCTTGCAATACCTGTGAGGATTAGACAATGCTTAAGTTCAGTCACAACAAAAACTGATAAGGGCTGGCAGAAACAAAACATTAGCTAATAAGCCCACTTTTAATGGCTGAAGGGAAACATTTGACAAAATCTGCTGCTTGCTCAAATAGTTTGTAGGGGCAAAACTCCTTGCAAGTGCTGGTACTAGCATTTGGTGCTTTAGAGTTCTCATTCTCTCTCACTTGTGAACTAATATGTGCAATAAAAAGCTCTTCTGCTCAAGTGACTTGCTCACATTATCTTTTCTTTCACATACAGAATGCAGAAGCTCTCAGAGTTTTGTGAAGAACAAGAGAAACATTATATGTAATCTGCTTATCCACAGTTCAACATACAAGCCTAGGTCCCAAAAGGGGTAGACCTGGGGGGACTCTGCAAGAGGCTTCTCCTACTGTATCCAGAAAAGAGAGTAAAAACGGACAAGTGTCTCAACACCATCAAAAGTGATTCTCAATTACATCTGCTTTCCTATTCACTGAGGATCTAGGATTTTTAGCTGTGGAAAAGTTAAGACTAAAAAAATTTGTTTCAATAAGTTTCCTTCCATTTACCTCAATTCCATTTTCTCTTCTCAGTTCTTCTGCATTTAATGCTGAACAATTGACAGTATGGAAAGCAAGTTCTGTAGAAGCAGGCAACAGAGGAGATTCTTTGGAAAACAAAAGGTCATCTGATGTTTCAATGGTAATAGTCTTTATCAGCATAGGATAGCCTGCATACTTGTAAGGTTTCAACTCTGAAAGAGAAAAAAGTCTAAGTTTACATACATGCAGAGTCTAAGTAATTTAAATCGCTGCATAACTATCAGTGGAAGATATATCAGATATATAAGGACTAGGAGTCAAAGAAAGCCAACACCTGGGAAAACTGGAGCAAGAGCGAGCAGTCCACACAGTCTGACTTCTTGTCACATAAGATTGTTCATGCTAGAAGCTGACAGAGCTTCATAGAAAGAACACATTTAAGATTAAGAAGACCTATCTCCAGCTCAGCAAGCTCTCAAGCTCAGAGTTTTCCAAGTGATGTTTGTCTGTCTCCAAAGAAACACTAGTGGAGCTATGTCTGTCTGTCTTAGGCCAGGACTGCCTAACAGTAAGCCTATAAGGACCTTTTCCAGTTGGACATGGCAATAATTTTTAAAATAATTATATTTTTCATTCCTTAGGGTTC